TTTTCAATTAAACGCAGGGTTGCAAAACAACAAAGGCGCTGGAGCGGGGGCGGAGCAAGGATCTTTACAGAACCCGTTGTTTACACGCAAAAAAGGGCCCGAGAGGGGCGGGGGCAGTGCAGCGCGCTATGTAGGGAGCGGTGCAGCGCTTGTGGATGGGCCGCCGCAGGCACGTGCTACTAAACCTCCTCGACGCTCGAGGAGTCTTGCGGCGAGTGATGAAGACCCTTCCTTCACCTTGATTCCACTTCGTTTCTTGTTGCCGTTCCCGATTTCTCCTCGGAGCTCGAGGAGGTTTGCCCCGAGACAAGCCGCCCACCCATGTGCCATGTGCTCCTACGGCGCCCCCTCCCCCCCTTTGTCGCCCGAGGGATGTGTGTGTGCATGTGTGAGTGTGGTGAACACACCCCACCATAATCAAGCATACAACGGAGTAACAAATCGGTGGGGTGGCAATCCTCCTCGGCACCGAGGAGATATGTTGGGCAGGGGCAGGGGGTCCGGCAATATTTGGGGTGGTGGAGCTGACTGGGTCTCTCGCCAAAAGAAAAAGATTTTTATTAATAGACTTTTTTGTTACCATCGTATGTGCTAGCCAGACCCCTGCGATATTCTCGCCGCAGCGCCGACTGCGCTTCGCCCTGTTCCGCTCATTGATCGATTTGTTGCCGCGTCCGCAGCTGCCGCTCGGTTTTTTAGCTTTGTTTATTTAGACACGTTTGAATCGCTCAGGCCACCTATATAATTTAAAAGGGCCTGTCAAACCGGGGTAAACACCTCAAACCGGAACCGGACTCCTTTAAATTCAGCGTCCTGCGGTGGAGCGTTTGTTTTCGAACCGTTCTATATGCACTGCTCTGTCAAAAAATGTGCCGCGCCGCCTGGTTTCCCCGCCATGCTACGGTTATACGGTATATTACCACTGTGACCAACCAGTTGGAACAACAACTTTATACAGACATACAACGTTGCTATGCTTTGCTACAACGCAAACGACTTCGATGCAAATTGTATACGACGTTCACATACATATTGTTGCCGGACGGGGTATGGCATCATCACCACCGAGTTGTAAGGAGTCTGCTATGATGACGGCGGTCAGAGCATACTCTGCCCTGGGTGACTGGTACTCTGGTTTATCTGCTCTTAACCACCACCCGCACAAATACACCCACCATAACAATCCATGCACTCGCCACATCCACTGGGGGACCAAACGGAGAGGGGGGCGGAGCGCGGATGACTTGTCGACATCAGGCAGGAGCGGCATTCGCAGCAGTAGCATTTACATCAGCAGGATCAACGGCAGCGGCAGCAGCTGCTGCAACATCTAGTCGGCAGAAGCAGCATTGACAGGAGCAGCAGCGGCGTAAAAAGCAGGAAAAGTGAGTGCGCGCGCTGCCCAACCCGCAAACGCCAGGCAGCGGTTGCCTCATAGCAAGCAAAGATGCGCGGGCAGTCAGGCTCCAGCCGCGACCAGGGGGTAATCAAAAGCACACGCCCACAGGCCCTCATCAAGCAAAATGATATATATATATATATATAATAAATATGTGTGTGTAATAAATATGTGTGTAAAAAAGGCGCGTCGTCAACCCGCCAAAAACATGCTCAGATTGGGTCGGGCCGCTGCCTGGCGACTGTCACGCCGCCGAGCCAGACGCCGCCGCCGCCGCCGCCGCCGCCGCCGCCGCCCGCCGCCGCGCTGCCGCCCTGCGGTTGCGGTCGCGGCGCTCGCGCGCCAGGGCGAGGGCCGCGCAGTTCGCCTCGCGGTCGTACCAGGCCTTGCTCAGGAAGGCGTTGGTGCCGCGGCCGACGCGCGCGCAGAGCCGCGCCTCGGCGAGCACGTCGCGCCGCGTCACCAGCGCGGCGCCCAGCAGGCAGGGCTGCCCCAGCGGCACGCAGCGCCCGCTCGCCGCGGACGGGCGCTCCAGCGCGCGGTGCAGCGCCGAGGTGCCGTGCGCGACGTCCGGGGCGCGCAGGAACGCGCAGCTGCCTGAGCGCACGCCGTACGACAGCCCCAGCGACCATAGCCTGAACTGCGCCAGCGCCAGTGCAGCGAGCCTGTCAGCGTTGGCCGCAAGCCAGCACACGATCGTCGGCCCGGCGTCCTTGTCGTCAACGTGGCAAGCCACGGGGCGGTTGCGCGTCGCCTGCACCGCGGCGAAGCGCAGGCGCGCGGCGGCGCGGCGGCGGCGGCGGG